AATACTCGTAAATGGACATGTTAAGTCTTTTAATTGAGTGGTTTTGGAGTGAAATAAGGAATTATCAGGATTGCTATTAGATATTACTTTTACAGTTACTCTTGAGACTGGTAGAAACACATTTTTAAATGTAGCCTATGCCACTTGGAATTTTTAATTGTCAAGTGAATACACTGAAACAAATCTTCTGATAATGCCTGCGTTTAAGAATGATTTTGGAGCACTGCAGTCGTGCTGTCCGACAACTTTTTTTTTTTCTTTTTTTTTGAGACCCATGATCGATATCTCCTTTAATAAGTATAATAGGTTGTAATCTTGTAATTATCCGAATTTTAGACCTATAATTTAAATGTTGAGAAAGAGTTTGCAAGCTGCCTGAAAGAGATATACTCATTTCTATAATAGGATATCGACCAGTCTGGAACAGATCCTCCACATTATCAGCGTCTTTACGCAGCAAGTTGCGTTAAATTAAACGCAATCGAATGGGTTTAATTGTTTTTTTCTTCTTCTTCTTTTCTCCAGATATATTAGTGCTTTGTATCGAATCTAAATGGTGAAATCAGAAAGCGCGGTCTTCATCTTATCTTCTGTGTCTGCATTTGCAAGGACAAATATGTGCCAACCTCTATGATTGATTGGAGGCAGCGCGCGAAAGCAATTTTCAATAAACAGTAATTGTAGGCTGCAATAATTTGATAAGGTTTGCGCTGTTTTTAACAGCCGCTTTAAATGGATGAGTAAATTGAGAGTTATCGATTAGACGACCGTGCTGTGATTTAAGATGTCAAGACGAATTGACACGCCAAAAGTGCAATCTACTCTGTCCCCACTTTATATAAAGAGGAAAAAGAACGACTAAAACAGAAATTTCGGTTTAATTTCAAGTGTAAAAATGTTGTTATTCTCTGTTGTTGTTGTTTAAGGATTTAAACTTTAAACTAGTAAACAAAATGCTATAACAATTAGGCATCTGTGCTGAAGTTTATTTTCAGACACTTAAAGTAGAAAACAATTTCTACGTTACTCAATCGAAATCACATTACAAGAAATGTTATATATTTAAATGAGAAAATTAAGGATTGTATTTTAGAAAAGACAAAAATATAGGAAATATAGAGTAAGAAACAACTGAATGTACTTACTAAAATGAACAGAAATTTCGGTTTAATTTCAAGTGTAAAAATGTTGTTATTCTCTGTTGTTGTTGTTTAAGGATTTAAACTTTAAACTAGTAAACAAAATGCTATAACAATTAGGCATCTGTGCTGAAGTTTATTTCAGACACTTAAAGTAGAAAACAATTTCTAAATCACATTACAAGAAATGTTATATATTTAAATGAGAAAATTAAGGATTGTATTTTAGAAAAGACAAAAATATAGGAAATATAGAGTAAGAAACAACTGAATGTACTTACTAAAATGCTTCCCCCCCCCCTCGTTGGTGCTACCAAACTCATATCAGCGGGTGTTAAACTCTGTAAATTCAGGTCATTGGTGTAAAGCTGACTTTGACAACAATGTTTTGTGTTTCCACAGAAGACGGATTTGTGTTCCGGTCAGATGAATGTGAGGCTGATTTTACCCGAGGGAATCAGTCGGACAGCGAGCTGCAGGAGGATCTGTGCAGTGAGGAGAGCAGCGCCCTGCTTGGAAACAACGACGCCGAGTATGGGCAGCATGAGGACGACGACTCACTAAACAAAAGTCCAGAAGGACAGCAGACTCAACAGTCCTCATCAAACGGACAGAATCAGCCGGTGAAACCCAAGCGTAAGCGCTCCGGTTCGGACTCGAAGTCTGGCAAACCCAGAAGGGCCCGGACTGCGTTCACGTACGAGCAGCTAGTTGCTCTGGAGAACAAATTTAAATCGACGCGATACCTGTCCGTGTGCGAACGCCTCAACCTGGCGCTGTCTTTGAGCTTGACAGAGACTCAGGTGAAAATATGGTTTCAGAACCGCCGGACCAAGTGGAAGAAACAGAACCCGGGCGCGGACACGAGCGCGCCGACCAGCGGGAGCGGAGGTGGACCGAGTCACGGGCTGGGCAGCCTGAGTCCTCTGAGCCCGTCTCCTCCTATGGGCGGTCATCTCTCCATGCACACCAGCTATCCGGGTCACGCGCCAGGAGGACTCGTCTGCACCACTCAATTACCCTTTCTGCCGGGTCACGCGGTACTGTCACCCTTCATGCTCGGCTCTCAGACTTACGGAGCTCCCACATTTTACGCGCCGCACTTATAAGAAGAAATCTTTAGGAGATGTCCTGGATCGGAAGAAACAGTGTCCGGTCAACTCGGCACAGGAACATTTTTAACATGAAGCACTATGCTGTCACACACTTGCAAAGACATTTGATAGGTTTGTCTTAAAAACCGAGATGTAGCAACCATTCTGCACTGTGGCAAACCCAGAATTAGCCTAAGTTAAGGAATAATTTTCCTCATGTTCGGCAATACATGATAATAATTAGATTTGATTTCAATTTGCTTCATTTTGATCAACTGTGAATATTTCCGAAGATCAAACTGTATATATTTAGTTATTATGAAATGTGTTTAGACATTAACTTTGAATGCAAATGTAGTAGGGAATTAAACGGTATGTACTGAAACAAAGAATGAGATTGGACTAAAAATCGTGTAAACATAAGCCTAATGAAAAGTTTTTATTATTTTTATTTTTTACTGTGGGCCATATTATTTCATTCTGACGTTGCATAGACTATGCTATTATTTAATTGTTTGTCTTACAATTAAATGGTTGAAATAAAATGACAGATGACAAAGATCAGTTGTCAAACATTTCGTTGGCATGGCTTTATGAACTAGAGTTAAAACCAAGTTTTACATGATCTTGCACTAATATGCTAATGCCTGATTTGAAATAGAATTTTATAAACTGAGAAACCGCTTACTCGAAAAGCTGGAATTAATCGCGGTCAATTTCGTTCAATGAAGCGCGAACAGGAGTTCTATTGGTAATCGTTTACTGTACATTTCACGTCATTTTTACGAATATAGAAAGTTCCCCCCCTTTGAAACCCTTGTGTATAATGGCTGAAATAGATTATTGCTGCGTTGATTTACTTGAACATTAGCCTAACTATTGACCAACATCTAAGAAAATATCATGTTGAAAATATTATCATTTTACATTTATAAATATTTAAAATAAGACAATTAATTTTCCTTTCAAATCACTTATTGTTTTGATAGTTGCTTAAATATCAATAACGTAGCCTAAATGTCAGCTGAGGACTACTGAAAGGCAGTTGAAAAATAGGCTATTAGAATTTCGATTGCAATTTACAGTTTTGTTCGTTAAAAATATTTTAGTCTATTATTGTTTTTGATACTGAAACTGAAGACTGTGATGTTTAACACAGGACTCTATCGTTTCTGAAATTTGCGTACTTTAAGTACTATTAATATTAGGCTAAGTAAGGAGTCCAACGCCTTAAAACGAATTAGTATACTGCTGCTAAAATTCGCACGATTTTCAACCTTGCTGGTGCGATTGTTTTTGATGCATGCTTTGTATACTGCTTAAACTTCGAATGGCATAAAATATTACATTAAACCTATATAAGCAAACTTTTCTTTTACGCGATATTCAAGGAAAATGTTAGTGATTGTTTTATAAAATGGGGGTTTTAAATCAAGTAAAAACTATTTAAAATATTATAAAATATATTTGAAAACGATTGCTAAATTCGTTTCTGGCATGCCAACGTATGATCTTGTTTCGTGTCCAGACATATAAATTCACAATGAAATGGGTGCAAAAGCTACATCACATTTACAGCATTATTAACTACGTATTGTTATCATTATTATTACAATTAGAATGCATTAAATACTTTAAATATTCTTTTAATCACACTTTTCTTTTTCTTTTGCTCCAATTTTGCAAGTGAATAAAATATTTACGTATGGGGGAAATTATAGTCGTTACGTTGAACACATATGAAAAGACGGACCATGACGATCTTTTTTAATACGTCATTATTTTTGTCCGATTAACATATTCTTCGTCGTCCGTTGGAAATCATCATACTTATTTACACATTTAGGGAAGTAGGTTTCTCTATTAGTTTTTAAAGTTTTTTTCTGAGGCAGAAAAGAATGCTACGGCTGCTGCAATAGCGTCCTGTCAGTGTGAGGAATCCATATTCGTTACCGATGGGTGGATGAAAAAAATATATATTTATTTATTTGGTGCAATAAGACCACACGAGCTACACCAATGTCAATTAACACTAATTCTGCAACAGTGAAATCCCTTTCCCAATTAACAGCTTTTTTCAAAAGCATTGCTTCCTTATTAGCAATGCCATAGTTTTCTGCAATATACAGTCAAGTTAACTTAGCTGGCCTCATTTAAAATTGTAAGCCATTCTTCATTTGTTGTAATGCAAATATGTTTTTAATATAATTGTTACAAAAAATTTATATTAATAAAAATGTGTGTACTTACTGTTTCAGCGGATCTAATCGATTAAGGTAAACTACAAGTCTGTCGTGAGGCTATGTTACTCAAAGAACATGCAAACGTTAATAAATTAAATTTTATGTAAAAGTCTTGAAATGAAAAAAAAAAATCCTACCTTGCATAGGCCTTCATATGTTGCTGTGATGTGTTTTTAATCTTCACAACAAAGAAACCCCTTAAATTAATAAAGACAAAGTCATGTCTTATAAAATCAGTAGAAATTTACTCTATATTAACATTCACATAAGACTTACACTGACAACATATTTCTTTAAAAGTACTGTTATATTTATATAATTCTGGATCACAAATAGGTCTACTACAATGTAGCAAAGACAAAAGTTTGGAAAATACAATGTTGAAAATACAAAATTTAATCAAATTAAAATTTATAAATTAGTTACATACCACTCAGAACAAAAAATTAATTAATTAATACAATTATGCAGGCATTACAAATGACAATCCAAAGTTGACAGTACAAAGATTATAGTTAATTTGAGGCACAGTATTAACAATGTGCTTTTGTTCTGCATAAAAATCCAAACTGGTGTGTGGCAGTACGGCTGTATCCTTTAATTCAGTGCATAGTTAAATTGATTTGAAAATTTCTCATGTTTCCTCTTGTCCATCTTGTTCATGACCTCCGTAACTCGTCTCATGGATCTCCTATGAGGAAACAATGTGGTTGAGATTCAAATGATCTATTTACCCATAACTTGTCAAATATGTTCACCAGTATTCAATACAAATATACTTGACTTCAGTTATCTCCCAATATAGCAAAAAGTATCAGGCCAATTTAGTGATTTTCTATTTAATCTTGGAACATCTATTATTACTCACTTGTTAAAGACTTTCTTCTCTAGTCTTGAACGAGATGTACTGGCATTTTGCTTTAAATCTGTAAGGTTTGGGTACTTTTTCTTTGACTTTCCTTTGTTGCCATTCTTTCCCTTCCCATACGTCTTTGAGGAGCCCAGATCTTCTCCAGTTGCAGCTTCGATCTCCCTCATGAGCTCTGGGTCTCGCCAATCTCAATAAGAGAAAGGTTGCCATGCAGAATAGAGATCAATGCACCATACATTTATTCACATTTCACATATTTGATCCCTTGAATTCTTGGGGAAAAAAGAAACTTATTCAAATTTGAATGTTTCATCTATGTTAAATCATTTATCCTATTGAATATAAAGATCTGATCATGGCCTCAACCTTTGATTCTGGTAAAATGAGTGATCGTAATGGTAAGGACATTTTAGCTTAATGGTGAAACTATGACTGGAGGAGATTATTCTAATATGCTGATTTGGTGCTCAAGAAACATTTCTTATTATCGATGATGAAAACAGAAAATCAGTTAGGAAACCATTTTTTGGTTTGTTTTTCAGGATTCTTTAATGAACAGAAAGAACAAAAGAACAGCATTTAAGAATGTTAAAGTTTTTACTGTCACTTCTGATCAATTATTAATTTCTTTAAAAAAAAAAACAGATCACACACTTTGTACAGTAGTGTAGATAGATCAACTTTTCATTAAGCATGTCCCCTACTGTTGATACATGCATATCTTGCAATGATAAAATGGTAGCTGTTAAATTATTTACAATCTCCAAAGTGTTTAATTGCACAGAGTACTGCGCTTCATCAGTCTGTAGTGAAACGCATGCATGCAAAAAACAGCTTTTTCAAATGCCTTTTAAATGAATATGGAGGAGTTGGTCGTCCCTATAAGGATTTATGGAGGTGAAAGGCCCCCGTTACATGAGTGCTACACTCCGTCCTCGCCTTTAGTCAAACTACACTAAGTCAAGCCTTTAGGGGCTTAATTCTCCCTGTGAGGATGTTGGGCAGTTCGCATCTGCATAAGTCAGGCACACATGAACATCACAGGCAACAGCTGCAGTCAGCTTATTTGATTATCTATAGAAAACACATTTAAAGGGGTCATATGATGCTTTTTTAAAGATCGTTATTTTGTGTATTTGGTGTAACAGAATATGTTGACATGCTTTAATGTTCAAAAAACACATTATTTTTCAAATACTGTACATTACTGTAGGTCCTCTATGCCTGCTTCTCTCAAACACGTAGTTTTCAACAAAGTCCCTCCTTCCGACAAGCGCAGTCTGCTCTGATTGGCCATTGAGACTTTAGTCTTTGCAACTTCAGGGATCTTATCTATGCACAATCAGCTTGTAACACTCCAAAGAGAAAGGAAAACTTGAAATCGCATCATATGACCCCTTTAAACACAAAAATTCTATAATAAGATGGTTGTGAAGTGCACAGTAATATTGCTCTTTGGCTGGTTTGCACCAGTCTAGACTATTCTGGGTTAAATATAATTTAAGTTAAAGAAATAATTGACTGCAAAAAGGCAAAAATTGGGGTTATGGTGAGGCAGAAATGCAAAGCTTATCATTTTAAAAAAGCCTTCACAGTATTTTTTTCTGTTAAAATTTGTATTATTTCAGCTACAAAGCTGTTCTCTGCAATTTTACAGCCATTTTATGGTTTATCACAGGGGTGCCCAATCCTGTTCCTGGAGATCTACCGTCCTGTAGAGCTCAGTGCAAACCCTGCTCCAACACACCTGTCTTTAATTATCAAGTGTCCCTGAGATCTTAATTAGCTGGTTTATATGTGTTTGATTAAGGTGTGAGTAGTTTAGATGTCATGAAATTGGCTCCAGTCAATTTTAAGTGTCTCACTATGACACCTATCTTTGCTTTTTTGAATAGAATTAGAGGAAAATAATTGTTGTGTTATGCTGAATTATGCCACAAATATTGTCAACTATTAACCTATTTTGAACCTGGAATATGCCTTAAAGACAACAGACAGCAGCTCTAAAGCCAGAAACAAATGCTTGGCCGATACTTTCCTTCAAAAGTATTTGCCACTGACATGGGATGTGTAATTATTCTATTCTATGGTGACAGTTCAACTAACTTTGAAGTAGTTGATCTTAAAAAACAAAACTGACCATAGCTGTAACATATTTTTAGTACAAGGCTCCAGTGCACGCTGCCATAATGATGAGAACAACATATTTTTGTTTCCTTCTGTTAAAAGTGAGACCAATATATTAAATGTTAAATGCCGTGTTGTTAAATAAGGGGGAAAAAACATTTTGTCTTTATAGAAAGATTTCAAAGTAGTCATCCCATATTATCACAGTTTAAAAAGAGCATCCCCCTTTTATATCAATAATGCAACTTAAAGGGGTCATGAACTGCCGTTTTTGTTTTTTTAATTTTGTACTGTTCTCCGAGGTCCACTTATTACAGTGTTTCTCAACCCTGGTCCTGGGCGCCCCCCAACACTGCTCATTTTGTATGTCTCCCTTGTCTGACACACCCATTGCAGGTCCTGGAATTTCTTCTAATGAGCTAATGAGTTGAATCAGGTGTGTTTGATTAGGGAGACAAAATGTGCAGTGTTGGGGGGCGCCCAGGACCAGGGTTGAGAAACACTGACTTATAATGTTAAGATTTTTACATCAAAAATCATCATAATTTAGAAGTAATAGGCTATCCTGTTTTGCTCATCAGAACACTCTGTTTGAATAGGCATGGCGGATTGTAGACTCTGAAGTAAACGCCCACTGCTATGATTGGCTAACAGCTGTGCATGTTTGACACCCTACATTCCTCATAGATGGACGCTGCAGTGATTAAGGTTAAAAATGCATAAATACTCAGTACATATCAAACGATCTGTAATAACAGACGAAGCAATAGTGATCACGTAATAAAACAGTTACACGTCAGTGCCGATAGCCTCGTGGGCAGCATGTCGACATATAGCGCCGTTGCGCTTCGGGTGCCCTGTGTTTAAGTCCCAGCTTGCAGACCTTTCCCGATCCCATCTCCCCTCTCTCTCCCATTTCGCTTTGTAGGGTATCAGAGTGAATCAGACAATTTAAGATTTGATCAGATTGGTGAACAACCCAAAGAGTCAAATTCCACAAAGAGGCCCAGGATAACAAGTCAACGTCATAAATCTGCACAGATCCTAGTGCCAGCCAGTCTGAAGCAAGCCTAACCAACCAGCTCTTTCACAGAACAGCTTGCCTTCACAGTATTAACATAAAATAACACATTGATAATCCCAACTCAGGAAGGAGTTTGTCAAATTTGGGGCAAGTAACCAAGATTAATTGTCAAAGAGATGCACAGCTGACCATCACATGTAAATCCATGATAGAAATCATGAGCTACATACTTGTTCGGACTGGTTTCCCCCACAGAGGACAAAGACCAGGCTCCTTCTAGAATTTTGACCTTTTTGTTCCTCACAAAGCACACCCTCACGTTCACAGAACGACAGAGAGACTGTTTTTTTACATATGTAGATGCATCTACAATCATCTTAAAAGGACTTATAAACGAATATCAGTCCATTGCATAACTTCATAGCATGTATGTAACCCACACAATTGTCTATAATGTTCTAATCACTCAGTGGCTACGTTTACATGCAACCAAATAATCCATTTGTAATCGGATTAACGGCTCAATCGGACTGAAAAACCTTCATGTAAACACCTTAATCGATCCGATTGAGCTCGATCGGAATGAAATTTCGATCGGATTGAAGGGGGTGGTTTATTCCTTTTCTAATACAATTGAGAGTGCATGTAACCACTTGATTTGATTGAACCCCGAATCTGAAATGACTGCGCATGTGCAATGACGCAGAAATAGCGTAATGACGTATGACGTGCGGAATGAGCGGTTCTTCCTTTTGAATAAAGTGTTGTATAAATGTGTGTCCTGTCATTATAAAAAGTCTCCGGTTACTATGGTAACCTCGGTTCCCTGAGAGCGGGAACGAGACATCACGGAGACATTTTTCCGTTATGGGAACTCCTTCCCTTCCAACCTTTCTTGAAGTCCTATTGGCTAACGCCAGTCCAAATGACTGGCCAATTGTCGCGAAGTATGCAAATCGCATGCAAATACTGACGAGCTTGAGAGGCAGTATAAAATGCGGTGCACGTGACAATTACGTCAGAATCTGATACTGAATGCCGCTTAGCTGGTCGAGCAGCGAACACGGCGACCTCCATGATGTCTCGTTCCCGCTCTCAGGGAACCGAGGTTACCATAGTAACCGGACACGTTCCCTCTCGAGCTTTCACGAGACATCACGGAGACATTTCTCCGTTATGGGAACGATATTCAATCCCGCCGTGAGAGAGGCTACGAGCAGCCTGAACCAGTCACATACTCAGCGAAGATAGAACACACAATTTCCACAACCAATAGTGACGCTTGCTAGGTGGGCTCACAGCTGATAGGTGGAGACAAGCCAATGAGCGTCTACAGCCCAGGTATACGAAATTTGCAAATCTGGTCAGTAATAACGTATGCTGCGCTGAGAACAGGGCAGTAGCAACAGTACTGTAAGGGGCTGCACAGACATAACTGTGTTTAGCAGCATAACACATAACCTGATAATGGTAGTATGAAGGGAATCAGACATGAATAACAGGAAGCTGCACTGAGTACAGGGCAGACAACAACAACATTAGCATAGACGGCTGCGCAGAGTAACTACTGTGCGAGGCAGCAACACACATGAATAGAGGTAGCATAAACGTGAATCAGTCACTCACCGACAGCACTTGGGAGGCTAAGGACTGAACGTCCAGCTTGTAAAACCTGGCGAAGGTATTCTGAGAAGACCAGCCGGCTGCAAAGCATATATCTTGAATAGACATACCTCTCGACCACGCCCAGGAGGAGGCGATAGCTCTTGTTGAGTGGGCCCTAATGTGCAAAGGGCATTCCAAACCTTGGCACGTATAAGCAGCCGTGATAGTGTCAACAATCCAGTGGGAAAGTCTCTGTTTTGACATGGCCCAGCCCTTTGCACAACCTCCGTAGCACACGAGAAGCTGGTCAGATTGCCGAAAACTGTCCGAACGGTCAATGTAAATCCTCAAAGCCCTGACGGGGCACACCGAAGTCTGAGCATACGCATCACGTGAGGTTGATCACTCACAAGACAGGGCGGTCAGCGAAA